CGTTTTCACCTCCTTTCCCCCAACTCTCCTACCTACTGGCCCACAGATCCCAACAGTAATCCTGATCTTCTTGATTTCTTTATCCACAGCGGCTTAAGTCCCCTCAATTGTTCCATTACACGTCTAAATGAACTTTCCTCTGACCATAGTCCTCTAATTTTTTTTTTTTTTTTTTAAATTTCTTTATTGAGTATTATAACAATCTGTCTGTTCGACATTGGTTATAGTGAGGTAGGATGACATTCACACCATATGTACAAAAAAATAAAATAAATAGAACAAAATAATAATCAAAAGTATATACAATAGACAATAAAATAAAATAACCTAAAAAATAAGAAAATTAAAACTAAGGAAAAAAAAAAAAAAATAACATGCATACCTATATACAATCAGGCGAGGGAACTCCAGGAGAACCCTGCGCTACTCTTCCAACCGCGTCACTGGTACTAAAGCCAGCGGAGATTGGTCGAGAGCACTTTAGCCACATACAGACATGTCAAGTCCTCTAATTTTTAATGTTTCACTTGAACCCGTTCCCAAACCTTCTCCACCGTCATTCATTAGGGGCCCAGTAACCTGGGACCTTTTCCGCCAAATAATCTCCGATAATATTGATCTCAACACATCCCTCAAAACTCCCGATGACCTTGATAGTGCCGTAAATTCCTTTACTACCACAATCCAACAAGCCGCCTGGACTGCCTCCTTTCCAAAAGACTCCTCCAGAATTCCTATAAAGACCATTCTACCCCAACACCTCCTTAACCTAATCCACACCAAACGCCGTGCCAGATTATTATGACAACGTACCCGACATCCTACCGACCGCTGCTCCTATAATTACTACTGCAAACAATTAAAACTGGAATTAGCCACCTTCAGATCACAATCCTTCAACTCCTACTTATCCTCCCTCTCTTCTCGCGACAATTCCCTTTGGAAAACCACAACAAAAATCCTAAATCCTCACCGCATTTCACATCCCCTCCGACGAGGTGATGGCTCCTGGGCAGCATCTGACGAAGATAAAGCTGAGGCGTTCGCCATTCACCTATCCAATACATTTATTTCACATCCGGAATCCCATCCTGCCCACACCGTAACAGTAGAAGAACTCCTTACATCACCAATCCCACTTTCCTTGCCCCCAAAAGCTATTCATCCTTCCGAAGTAAAATTTCAACTACAAAATCTAATCCCCCGTAAAGCTCCTGGGCATGATCTCCTTACACCTCAAATCCTTCGACAACTTCCATCCAAAGCAGTCATATTCCTTACATATATCTACAATTGTATCCTACGCACCACCCACTTCCCTCTGTTATGGAAACACTCCACTATTATCCTTTTCCGAAAACCAGGCAAACCTCGCAATAGCTCAACATACTATAGACCAATCAGCCTACTCCCAATCCTTTCAAAAATGTTTGAAAAGATCCTTTTGAAACGAATCCTACCCATTATAGAATCCCAAAATATCCCTTCCCATCAGTTTGGTTTTCGCTCTCAACATTCTACTGTTCAACAAGGACTCCGAGTTGTTGATCATATTTCCTCAGCTCTAGAAAACAAGGAATACTGTTCGGGTGCCTTTCTGGACATTGCACAGGCATTTGACCGGGTATGGCACTCTGGACTGCTCTCCAAGCTTAAAATCCATTTACCTCAGTCCTTGTACCTAGTCCTCCGATCCTACCTCTCTGACCGCTCCTTTCGAGTTCGCTGTGGAACAGAATTTTCCAATATCTACTCCGTTAAAGCCGGTGTTCCCCAAGGCAGCGTCTTGGGTCCCGTGCTTTACATCCTCTTTACTGCTGACATCCCTGTTCATCCCGATACTTTTCTTGCAACATTCGCTGACGACACCGCAATCTTATCATCCAACTCTGATCCCGAAATAGCATCCTTAAATCTCCAAAGTCACCTCACCTTGATTGAGCACTGGTGTAATAACTGGCGCATTAAAGTTAATGAATCTAAATGCCAACATATTACCTTTACACTCCGACGCAATTCCTGTCCACCAGTACTCTTTAATTCCATCCAGCTTCCTTACTCAGACACAGTCCGGTATCTTGGCTTTCATTTAGACCGAAGACTAACTTGGAACCCGCATACTAGACTCAAAAGACAAGAACTCAACCGACGATACGGCCAACTATACCGACTACTAAGCAGAAAATCTAAACTTTCCATTGAAAACAAGCTACTGATCTACAAGACAATACTGAAACCTATTTGGACTTACGGACTAGAACTGTGGGGATCAGCAAAATTTTCTAACATCAAGCGCATCCAATCCTTCCAGTCTAAAGTCCTTCGAACAATAGTCGATGCTCCTTTCTATGTATCCAACAAAACCCTACATCATGACCTTAACATCCCATTTGTCCTAGACCTTATCCCAGAAAAATTCTCCAAATTTCACCAGAACCTTACTTACCACCCAAATCCTCTTGCACAATCCCTATCAAGCATCTCCCATCCCTATAATCCTCCAAGAAGGTTGAAACGGCAGTGGCCTCGCGACCTTTTGTAGATTGTATAAATTGGAGTTCTGGCAATGGCCAGATTCTTCACTCAAGACATGTGTGTATGTGGCTAAAGTGCTCTCGACCAATCTCCGCTGGCTTTAGTACCAGTGACGCGGTTGGGAGAGTAGCGCAGGGTTCTCCTGGAGTTCCCTCGCCTGATTGTATATAGGTATGCATGTGTTTTTTTTTTTTTTTCCTTAGTTTTAATTTTCTTATTTTTTAGGTTATTTTATTTTATTGTCTATTGTATATACTTTTGATTATTATTTTGTTCTATTTATTTTATTTTTTTGTACATATAGTGTGAATGTCATCCTACCTCACTATAACCAATGTCAAACAGACAGATTGTTATAATACTCAATAAAGAAATTAAAAAAAAAAAGTTATAAACGCAAAAAAGAAAACGCTGCATATTATTCCACAATGGCTTATTATTTCCAAACAATTATACATCTAAAGTAACATTACCTTCCTAGTTATAAAGAATTAATAATAAAAGGTGATTCAAATTATTGGACTAAACATTTTTTTTTTAATTATTTGAAATACGCTAAAAACCAAAACAAAGGATACAACCTTAACATGATAACATATAAAAACATCTAGAGAACATATCTTTGATCCTAATTGTCCGATTTTGTTTTTGTTTTTTAGGAAAAAAAAACCTTCAAATAATCATACGAAAAAGTTTATACTTTTTGAGTTATTCGGAATCTAATTTTACCATCCCTCGCAACTTTTTTTGCAGCTTCTTTTCGTTGAAGTATGTCATATAGATAAATTTAAAGGGCATCGAGAAGGAGACTTTAGCGAAGTTTCACTGAAATCGGTAAATTTGTTTAGGTGCTACAGTCAATAGCAACGCAGGTTTTTTTGTCGCCATCTTGAAAGGAAAAGGCGGATAGAAATTTCGATGAAGGAGGATCATCCTCGTGTGACCTCTAATTTTAAATCCAAATTTGAAAAAAATCAGTCCAGTAGATTCGGAGAAAATGAGCGTACGGCGGAAGGCGGACGGACTATAAAAATTATATTCCTTTTTCGAATTCAATGTATCCTGAAACGTAAAACTACAAATTTTGAGAAGGGATTAAGTTTTTGTCCAATCGCAATGGTTCATTATTGAAAATAATAAAGCAAAATGGAGGGCACTGATTAACTTTATCACAGCCATTATATAATAGATATCAACATCAACACACCATATTTTTGAAGGTTTGCAAAAATTATAATCAATAATAATAATCTACATGAATAATTAAACTATGAAAACCAGAATTAATTTTAAAAATAGGAGAATTCGACTTTCAGTAAAGGCCAAAGTCCAAAATTACATAATGTATAACCAAAAACACCCTAAAAGTTTTTATTATCTTTTTTTTGTCTTCAATTCTTCATCCGCACCTGTCATGGTAGTGATAATTAGCAGATTTGTTGTTAAGAAGAAAATGGCATAATACGCATGTCGAAGAATGGAGCCCAGCAGCACCTCTTCCCTGGTCTGTTTACATCCTAAAATCAGGAAAGGAGATTTCTCATCCAGCTCCTTTTCAATCGCCTCCTAATGAGCATTTCAGCCGTGGCCATGTCGTTGATAATTACATTGTGATGTCCGTGTAGTTCAAGATGGAATCGGGAGTAAAGAGTACGTACGTGCTGGTCAATGTTTGATTGTCTTAGGTCGGTATGTAAAGTCTTGTTGTTAACATACCAGAGAGCTGCAGTTATTAGTTTGAAAATTTTATATTGAAAAGATTGTAGTTTTCGTAAGTGAGTTCTTCTTGCTGAACCGTAAATCTGTGAGGCGTATGTCCAAATTACCTTATTATCTAAATTTCATTTATATTCAATGATGACAATATATAGAAACATCTAACCACAAAAAATAATCAAAGCACTGTTGTTTGTAAGACATTTAATTTTTTTCTAATGAATCTTATTATTCTTAATTTAAATTTAATTTAATTTTTTATTAATATTTATTTTTATTTTTAAAAACTCCTGAATTCATAGGTAACACTGAATTTTGCGAAAATACAACTCTTTTCCAAACTCAATTAAACGAAAAAAACAACATTAAAATATGAATTGTTAGTGGTAAAGATTGTTTAGCTCATTTATTCTCTGTGCTCAACATAACTGCTGCCATCAGGCATTAAAAAATTAAAGAACTGACTTAAAAGTAACAAAAAAGAACAGTATCATTCATATAAGTCATTTTCAAATTATGGCAGGCTGATTGGCATCTGAACTCCCCAAATAATAAAAATACTTTTAAAATAGTTGAGGTGTATCGAGGATCAAATAACATCTGCTTGGCCAGTTGTCAAAATGATAACCAACAAACCACTTAAACTGAATGAATTTATAAATAACTGGAAAATAAATACCACACTTTATAGATACATTTTTATTCATACAAGGATGTCACTACTAGACATAGCCTTATGTATATGCCAGATCATTTCCCTCCAGTGAGAAGATGGATGGTGTGGAAGACAGTCCCAAAGCCAGAAGGTGTGATGGCGGCAGAGACGATACAGGTCATAGCCACGACTACGGTGATCAACTTCATGTCTTCGCAAGAGGTAGACTGACTAGAACAGAATAGTGCCTCTGTGCCATCTTATTGCTCTTATATATCGACAGCAGAGCGATTAACCTTATTTTACGTAGACATCCAAGGGCACATCTTTATGTATCGCACGTTTTGTCAAAATAATCTTGCGTAGGTTCATCTGTAAACAAAATAAAATTCAATGTCAGTGAGGTATTTAGAGCCGTAGCTTTTCAATTATCACATAAGATTTTGAGACAAACTAAGCAGTAGTAGAAAACTAACTTTTTTTCATTACTTATCGCTTAATGAATTTGTAATTTTTTAAATTTTCCTTAGACTATTCACCACTATCTAATTCAAAGGAAATTATGAACTCAATAAAAAATATTCACAGAATTCATATTTCTTTCTCGAGATATTTCCTGATCTTTAGAACATATTTTTTTTATTATTATATCTGCCTTTTTATCTTTTAAATTTATGCTGGTTGTAAATATATGATAAAAATTAATATCATTTTAGATTACCGTTTGCTATCATCGCCTCTTGTGTGCAGCAAAGGAAATAAAAATATAGGTGTTAAAAAAAACGATGTGGTTAAGAGGCCCTGGTTAGTCGATTTAAAGAAAAACGTTACACGTAATATATATAAATATCTGGAATGTGTTATTTCAAAACAATACGATTTTTTGGGTACTTGTGAGCGACGCGGCCTCTATAAAATGCTATCTGCAGTTATCTTGTTATTTAAAGTGTTGTTGTTGTTATTTATATTTCTTATTATAAAATGTTTATAACCTGAACACTGATAATTGTTATAAGGAACTGATAATCCCTATCTTCATATGAAATTAGATTCTCATATAATAAGAAATATAAATATATTTGGTGTTGCATCTTTTTTGCCTGTTTCTTATTAATATATACATACATATATATATTATTAAGAAATATAAATATAATAATAAGATAGTAATTTAATAACAACTCTTTAAATAACAAGATAACTGCAGATAGCAGTCCATATAGGCCGCGTCGCTCACAAGTACCATCTTTTATGTCTGGTTGTACAAATTCTTTCTGTCAGCTTGAAGGTATTCGGGTTGTTTTTTGTTTTGTTTTGTTTTGTTTTTTTGGATTTACCAAAACTCGATTAAATATTTTATATTTATTATATTTTTCCTTGATAACGCTTGAGGATTTCATGCTCACGATACAATAATCGATCTTTTCAAAAATAAAAAATTCATTTGCTCTGTAAGTTCTACTCTATTTTTTCATTCACACAACGTTTCAATATAAAATTATATTATAACCACAAGGAGTAATTTTCCCATAAAAACCTCTAGCAAATTATTTTTGAAACGATTCCTATTAAAGGAATAATGACAAAAATAATGTTTTTTTAAAACAAACATTCGGAATGGAAAGGGCTTATAGTAGTATCTTTCAAATGTACGGTTGCTATTGATATGACCCGTGTCATTTAGAGAAGGACTCTTTAGAAAACACACAGACACGACCCTCCTGCCATTCGGAAGCCGATGAAAGAAAGGCTAATATTTGCTCTAGAGAGAGAGAACAAAAAAGGACTAACAATGGACCCTTGCAGGACTGAGTCAATGCTGGAGTTAGAGCTGAAGAATTAGACATGACCAGGTGCCTCCTCCTCCGTGCCACTCCCAAACTGTCCTTTTTAATTGCTACTTCAGCTCGCTATTGTCTCCTCTGTCTAGAGTCAGGCAGCTGTCATGGCTCGCTCTAGGCCTTATTTGTGTTTGCCAATAGTGGAAATAGCTGGTTTGTATAATGTGTAAACAGTTCAATGTTTCGAAATCCGCGAAGGTTTATTCTGTAACTTAGCACCAGCGTTCTTTAAGGTTTATCCCCTTATTCAAAGGAGAACCAAATATCCACGCTTAAGACCCTTAATAAATTTCGGTAAATGATGTAAATTTTGGGTCTCTAAACGTTTTTGTTCACTAATCGAAGGGAACCAGTCTGTGTAATGGTTCCTTTAATACTGGCTCGACTTGTTGGCAATGTTTGGACATGCGCTCTTATCTCCATGTTTGCCACAAATGTAGGTGGTCAACTAGTTGAACCAATGTGTAGAGGGATCATTAGAGAATGGGCGTGCCCTAATCAGTACGCAGATTTAACAGAAAATACATTATCTCCCAAATCTGTAATCGGACCGATAGTTAAAACGTCTAAAACTGTCACACCCACTCCTAATAAAAGCTAATGGAACAGTTTCAAAATTTGTAGCAGTAAATAAAAGTTCTTTTGTAATTTGTTTACACAAATACGGCTAAACGATGAGTTTAGCTATGACCACTTTTAGGTAAGTTACGATTATTGAGAGATAGATAGATAGAAGCGTTTATTTGTTTGTGAAGTGCATAATATCATATATATTTTTTACATGTAATTAAACGATTTATAGACAATGAACTAATGTTCGTCTGTCGGGTATTGAGAGATAGTACTAACAATTTTTAAGATTGAGGACTCCAACTGTTCCATGAGATCTTATGAGTGTTTTGGAACCATTTAAAATGAAACGACAAAAATAAATTATTTTATTTCAAACATTTTAAGTAATTTTTTGGATTCATATTATTTCACATGTAAATTGATGATGAGGTGTTAGGAAAATAAATTGTAAATACTTAAAAAGCTAAAAACCTTAAAATAAAAACAAATAAAATACCGGATAATGAAAATAATCCTACAAGTCCTAAGAGGCGGATTATGACATTGATGTCTATAAATATTGAAATTTGGTTTTGTTCAATATATTATAGACCAAAGATCACCAATAAAATACGTTTTTATTTTATTTCTTTATTTACCAAAGTTTCGACTTCTAGAACCATTTTCAAGAATCTATTCTGCAACATTTTATAATAAAATTTTTATTACATCATAATTATATATTTTGCCAGTTGATCGATCCTTTATTTCAGGAAATTTCGTTGGGGTTTATAGTTGGTAGAAGCCATTAAGTCTGATGTTCATATACTTTCCGTTTACTCAAGAGTCTTGAGTGCAATACAAAGTACTTTATTGGCGACCTTTGACCTAAAATCTATGAAGTACAAACATAGCAAATGGCACCCAACATAAAAAATATGACAAGAAAATGAAACTTGGTGTTGTAGTCGGGTGCTTTCCACTAACTTCACGGCTTGTCGAACGTTCCGTCCCTTACATCTGTACGTTTATATATTTATGTACCTGTGCGTGTAAACAAACAAAAAATAAAAGTATTGAATACAACTTAATCGATGGATTCCTGAGTTTCTTACAGTTATGAATTGCACCCAACTGCTACTCCAAGTTTCAATATTTTTAGTCGTTCAAGTCACTTACAATCCTTTAAGCTCTTTCCGGAATGGAACTAATAATATTTGAAGCACACACTTTTAAGAAGGAGTCCATTGAGTGGAAGCAGTTCTACGAGTATAAACCATTAATCGGCAGTGGGTATAGCCACTAGTGGTGCGGAGTGTAGTCGAAGAGCATCCTAGATAGTTTTTTTGCAGCGGACAGTGCCTGGGGTCCTGCCCGGGACTTCAATGATCTCCGATGCCAACGACCGGTGATTCACCCTCAACCTCCGTCCTCTTCCGGAGCAAGGAGCACCTCCATTGTTGTCTTGGTCGGCCCATGCAAGGGTGGTGTAATCTAGATAGTATAGTTGAATGGGTCGGTTAATAATAATATTAATTGGTTATATTACAGTTTTTTGTCTGCATGAACTTTGTCAAAATCGAATTATCATCAGAATCATTACTAAAATATAATTTGATCAATAGAATGCAATTGGTAAATGCAATTGGTACAATTGCAATTGGTACATAATATATACTAGTTGATTTTTTAAACAATAAATTGTTGTACGGATAGTGTAAATGCCATTATAAAAACTTGGAGGCTATTTGAAAGTCCAAGTAAGCACCATAACAAGCAATAAGACATGAATGAACATGATAACTGTCCTGTGACTTTTGTTGACTGACAAAGTACATTGGACATATTTGAATTTTATTGTGAATTTTTATACTTTGTTGTGTGAGCTGGTTTATGGATGCGTTAAAGAGTGGAAATAAATTTCTATTTGTTCCTTTTCGTGTGGCCGAAATGTATCTGGTACCTCTTTAACTATAGATTTGTGCTTGGCTCCATTGAGGTGTGTGGGGTTTCTCTCTTCTCTTCTTCATCTTTCCTGATACCGTCTTATGCTGGCGGTTCCCTCCGTGTTTACTCCATATTCTGATGAGACAGAATTACATAAAAGAACTAGCTCAAGATTCAGTTGGACCTTCATGGGTATGACTTTCTCTGTCAAAGGATAAGGAATTCATCTCCATTCCATATCTAAAAAGCACCCTTGGAATATTACTAAATGAATAATGAATTTTAAAATATTACACTCTCAGGATATTTAGGGCTATTACCTTAAATATAACATCATTAATAAACAAATATTCAATTGTGAAATCCTTAAATCCTTAAAAATACCAACAAACTAGCACTAAATATAAAAAAGATGGTTTTCATTTCTTCTCATATTATCTCACATCAGGGCTTAATCAAGGCGATAATTTAAGTTAAAAATTACTGGACATGAAGGGGAAATGTTATTAGTTTGTAATGCAGTAAAATTTCCAAATTGTAACTTTTGTTTTTTCTCCCATTGTCCAAATATAGCATTAGTCCATGAGTGTGCGTCTTCAAGAATCCATTCAGAATCCGTTATAAACGACATAAGATTTCTCAAACATATGCTTGCTATCTTTAGCACATTTACGTGGACAAAAAAAAAAATTATTCTATATTAAACGTGTCAATTAAAGGAATAAATAATCAATCAACGATATCTTATTTTGTAACGGATGAACTGTCTCGATTGCGGAAAAAAAAAAGTTCCTGTTTTCATGGAAATGTGTGGTTTATCTCCCAGAACCCCGCTGTCCTAATTTAGGTTTAATGATCTTTCATTTATTCCATCTTAGCCATAACAATAAAATTACTGGGGCAGTAATTGGCTTCTCGAATATATTTAGACAAGGGCTAATTTGGCAGGAGGGTAATTGGTTTACCGATGTACCTAATCAAACTGGATCTCCGTCTTTTTAAGTCGGAAATGTAAATAAAACGCTAATTAAAATACATATAGGCCTTGCGTGAACTAACTAGTGTAGCAGATGTATGGGGAGGCATCCTCACAAGGTGGCGGAACTGTTCGAAATTGAAGACGTGAGTGGGATATGAAGGATTACACAAAGCAACTGTTACATGGTAGTCAGACACAGCGATGGAACCGACCCCTGGGCAATAACACTTAGAGCTAATAGGTCTAATAGGATTGGTCGGGACTAATAATAATACTCCATGCCCAATGAAAATTAATAACTCCCTTCCACTTTCTTGGACGCTTACTGATGCCGAAGCATTTAAACTGGAAGCATCGTGTCGTGGCTATTAGGAGGTCTTGGCTTCTTTACATTAGCACAGATATATCACCATAATTGGGCTGACGGTAGCCCACCATCTACGTCTCGGTCCCCTGTAATTACCATTTTACATATATCCACTCGGCATTTAAGCCCTCATCGCCCCTTGTTTACGGAATTAACTTCGGTATGTAGTTATAATACATCGTCTTTGGTATTAGAAAAAAATCATCTGTCAGCCAGTGGAATACCACGCCAAATACAGCCACTGTTGAAGGTAGCTAATGAGTCAGAATCATTAAAAATTATTCCTGGTTAGCTTCAGTTTTTAATAGAATCTATAAATAAATGTGTTGTGGGTGTGTATTTGTATGTTTAAGGGCATAATTATGTTAAATTAGACTTGTCAGGCGTGCCACTACTAAGAGCTATTATGTATTACATCATTAAATTTTAAATTATACATTTGTTAACATTAACACTACACACACACGCCTAGGACACTCCATTGCCTAGGACTAATTGTACATGTCACTAACTGGTTATTGATCCTTTTATTTATTTTATTTTTTTCATTTCATTGTTGTTGTTTTGTTTTTTTCCATTAGGTATATTTAAAAGCACCAACGGGTTGTATTTGTGTACACGATTCAATGAGTATAATTGCGATTAAACGATTCAAGTTGTGTTTTACTACATAATACATTTTTTTTAAATTATCTTGATAATTTGTATATATTTAATAAATATAAAAACTTTAATTTATATAAAATATAAAACTTGAAGATCGTCTTATGCATCTTTAAAAATTATATCCTCTTGATCATCGTCATTTCTGAGGATATTCTGTTTCTCCTTTAAACAAGATTGTTCTCAAATTCTTGTTTTTATCTCCCATTTCAATGTTTTTGGGCCATATTTGACTGACAAGTTGAACTCAATGAATACAAAATTGAAACGTAAGTCTAACCTTCATTTATTACTTTAAACAAGATTAGGTGCGAATTTACTCCAAAGCAGAAATGGACATTGCTTTTAATGCTTCTAAAGCGGAAAGAGGACTGGAAATGGGACTACTGATACTTAAGTCCTATTTGACCAAATTGTCGTCCTTCTTCCTCCCTAACTAATATCACAACTCCGGGTGCGATTTCTGTCCTACTTCGTGGAATAAGGGTTGAAAATATTTTTCTATTTATTAGCATAATTCCTTTAACTGAATTTGTGGATAGAGTAAAGTATAGGTCCAATTATAGAGATGTAGTGTATTGAGGAGTATTGTTTATAAAAATCAACTAACCTTATACAAGACTTAAAGTTAGAAAATTGCATTCAAAAGTGACGGATTTAAAAGTTCTGCGGCTTAATGTTAATGTTCATAACCCACAAAGGTTTGGGAACATTTGATACATTTTAAATTTTAAAAAGGAATACAAGAAGCAAACTATTTCACAATCATAAATTTCTGTTGTTGTTTTTTCAACTCTTATCTTAATTTACGATTAGACCGTGCTACTTAGTTACTGTTGTGTTTAAGAGTAGAGCTCAGTGAAATATGTAAGGCGCTTAAGAACAGCAGCGATACAAAACATAGGACCCACCGAAGCGCCCTGGGGTAGAACACAAATGTGCCACTAATGAGGATCAAAGGAGAGCCAAAACGTGTATTTTATTTTTAAAGCCGGTTAAATGGTTGACCGGTGCCTTTAGTTTATCGCCAACTGTTATCGCCGGTTTCGGAGTAATGGCCTCACCACCAGCCCCCTCCTCACCAATGTTCTGCATCGGAATAAATTTTATGTTTGCTCGGGTTCGATTATCGCACTCCTCAGTAGAGTCAATAGACCCAAGTACTAGATGTCTATTTTACGAGTACGCGAAAGTCTACAGATTGGTACAAAAATAGCTTGTCTTATATCTCAATGTGATTCTAGCAATTTCTATCATCTTTAAAATACTTAAAAAACGTATCTATAGAAGTTTCCAAGTAAAATATGTACTTACTTGTTTTACTCAGAACCTAATTTATGTGAGGTATCATTTCGTACCAATATATATATAATACTTGTCTGTGGAAAAAACAATCTACTCCAATAAACTTAAAAGTTTGCCCCGAGGTTTAATTTGTGTGACTGTGAACAATATATTGTGATGAATTTCTTACATTTTTTCAGACTTATTTACGTTATGGTTAATAATCCATTCCTATGTATTATCGTGCTGTAAACAATAAAAAATCAACTTGATCTGGCAATTGCTGAAATTTAAAAATTTAAAATCATTTTTTAGATTTATATGAATATACATTTTACGGAAGGGAACCAATAAAAAAATATTCCATAGTGAAACTGATTTTAAATGAGATACTTCATTCCTATTTTAAAATGAAATGAACAATCAATTATTACTGGTATTTTTAATAGAAAATCAAACTTTATTAAAAAAGGATATTTTTTTTCAAGAAAAAAATCTTCCTTATACTTCGCTAAGACACATATTATCATATTTATTTTTAATCAGTCCCGAATCCTGAGTTCAGATATAAAATATTAAATAATCTGCGATAGTGAAGATTTGCTCCTAACCAACTGAAGTCCTACTTTTACCGATCCTATTCTAGTAGACAATTTTTCTTTACAAAATTTATTTTTCTTATTTCCTTGCCTCTCGGCAAAACAGATATTTGGTAGAACTAGCGCGGTACTTCTACCACTTATCCACTGGTTCTTCGGTCTTCGTTATTGGAGGACAAATGATCATCCACCACCAATTCTATCCAACCGTACACAAATGGCTCGTAGAACGAGTAATTATCCTTACTTACTAGATGAGGGAAATCGTACTCCGATAGAATTCTGTTTTCCTCATTAGTTTGGCCCATATTGCTTCAAAAGCAGTGCAAGTCGCGCCGATACACTTACCAGTTTCCGGAACACCACAACATGGGCATAAGTAGTTAATTTTTTCCCAAAGCCATGAAGTTTGGCGCGAAAACTCCCATTACTCCGTGATGTGTTTGTGACACAACAGTTGTGGCATCCAATAATCAGGGAGGACCCATTTCGTTTCAAACCAAAATTCAATTTACCAACAGCTAAAAAAAGTCAAAACGCCTCCGTTGAACAAAGATCCTGTTTCCTCTAAATATTTGGACTTCAGATATATTTGCAATCTCTCCAATCTATCAAAACAACTGGAAAGATAAGTAGATTCACTTGTCAATACCTTGAGA